AGTTAAGAAAAGTAAGTTGATTACAAAGCCATGATAGGAATTTTCTTTGGCAATAGTAGTCAATCCAAAGCATACAGGTTTATGTTCAGAGACTAAGAAATTACACTCACAAGGGATGATAAAATTGAAGAGAATGGTGTCTGGAATTAAAGAAAACAAAGTTAATGAAGACTTAAGACCACAACCGATAGAACCAACAGTGAATCAAGATGATGAAGAAGGTGGGACTGAATTAGATAAAGATGTCCAGTTAGAGGTACCAGACCTCTGACAAAAATTTATGAAAGAGTAATGCACCCAATACTTGAACCAACAAACTACTCTAAAACGTAATCAAAGCTTGGAAGCTTCCATGAAGGAAGAGTTAGCAATGATTGAGAAGAACCAAACTTGGAAACTTTGGACAGCCTGAGAATAGAAAGTAATCCAAGTAAGTGGATTTTCAAGAGGAAACTCAATCCGATGGCTCGATTCTTAAGCACAAAGCTAGGTTGGTTGTCAAGGTTTTGCTCATAATATGGAGTTGATTTCTTGGAACCTTTGCACTGGTAGCTAGGCATGATACAAGCATATATTGCTTACTATGGTAGCTCAATTTGGCTGGAAAATTTTTCAGTTGGATGTTAAATCAACCTTCCTAATGGATGGTTGAATGAGGAAATATATGTTGACAATTGAGCGGGTACCAGATCAAAGGAAGTGAGGATAAAGTTTACCTTTTAAAGAATGCCTTGTATGGCCTAAAATAGGCACAAGGGCCTGGTAACTAGGATGATGATCACTTAATGAGCTTACATGTTGTGAGGAGTCCAAATGAACATACTTTGTATGTTAGAGAAGTGGATGAAGATGTGATGATTTTCCTTGTATGTTGATGACCTCTAGTGACAGGGTAACTTGCTCAATTGGAGGAGTTGAAGAGTCCATGCGCAATGAGTTTGAGATGACTGATTTAGGGGAAATGTCTTATTTCCTTAGATGCAGTCTATCAAAGCTCAAAGGGATCTTTTTCAACTAGAAGAATATGCAGTAAAGTCTTAAGGAAATTCGACATACGGAATTGCAAATACTGGACATTCCATGGTTCCTAATCAAAGCCTTTCAAAAGATGATGATGCAGAGACATTGATGAAGGGTTGTATAGGAGTTTGATTAGATGTTTGCTATATTTAACAATAGCCAGGCCAAATATGTGTAGCTACAGCTTGCAGTCCAGGTTTATGAGTCAGCCCAAGGAACACTTCAAACTACAAAGGGTGCTAAGATATGTAAAGGGTTGCACTAACTTTGGAGTATGGTTTAGGAGGTCAAAAAACTTTGAATGTGCGGGATTTTCTGATAGTGATGGGGGTGGCTCAATGGGGAAATGAGAAGCACTTCTGGTTATGCATTTCTTCTTAATTAGTGCAATTTGCTGGTTTTCCAAAAAGTAAGAAACTGTGGCTCAATCCACAATAAAGCAAAGTATATTTCAGCTATTGCTACTGTGAATCAAGCCATTTGGCTGAGAAAAATCTGAAAGATCTGAAGCTGAAACAAAGAAATCCTACTACATATTGTGACAATCAATCGCTATGGCTATGGCTAAAAATCCAGTTCATCATGGACAAATTAAGCACATAAAAATCAAGTTCCATGCGGTAAGTAAAGCTAAACAAGATGGGGAAATTAAACTGGTCCATTGCAGGGATGGAAATCAAGTGGCTGATATCATGACCAAAGGCTTGTCCAAAGCCAAGTTTGAAGACTTTAGCCTCAGACTCGTGTTTCTAGCAAATATCAAGGAGAAGTGTTGAAACAATGATATTTTGCTGGAAATGTACACTGAATTTCAGTTTGGTTTGAAAACATTTGTGGTGCAAAAGAGGTTTCTGTTTTTGCCTTGCATTCTGAGATGTGTGAGCAACTAAGTTGATGTGTTTTTACTGATGTGTTAGGCGTACTCAATTGTGATTAAGACTTGTTAGTTGTAAGCTTTGGTTTAAATTCAATCTGTAAATATTCCTACAAAGGTGGTGTAACGTGGATATTTTGGACCGATATTTGTTGTATAAATTTGTAATGAAATGAAATAAAATCAGAACTTTCTCTTAATATATGTTTCTCTTCTTTCCTTAGAATTCTCTGACCAAAACACCTACAGCACATACTTGGTGGGTGTAAGATCTCAATGTGGGATCCTAACATATTATTCTTTATAAAATTTCTTCATGATGAACATGTCCATAGCAACAAACACTTATGAGAGCTCACACTCTCAATAAAGCTATCCACATCAAACAAATATATATATCCCTTATTGTTTTAGAACTTTATGCATTGATCGATCAACAAGGCCAATAGTTTTCTTCATATTGTAAGGCAATTGTATCCCTTTTTAGAGGGATGAATAGCGTCAAAGAATAAATATTTCTTAGGATTATCACATAATTCATAAAAGGGCGTTTGGTTGGCTAAATGTGAGTTATTGGGGTTATGTCATCTATATTACTTGATTATCACGTTTGATTGTCAAGTATATAAGATTCCGATAATCTTCAAACCGATAGTAGTTACTATTGGCAATATTGAAGGTAATCTGATTACCTCAATTTCTTAGGTATTCTTAGATTACCAGGGTTATTTTTTTGTTACAATTTTATCCCTATTAATAAAGTTTTGGACAATAATCCCTCTTTTAAATAATTTACATTATATTCTATTTCAATTTTATCCTTGTTTAATAACTAAATATTTAGACAATAATATCTTATTTTAAAACAATTTACAGATCACCACTGCCATCACCCACCACCCCACTGCCCCCAACCACCACTGCCGACAACGGGCCAACCACCACGGACAGCCACGAAAAGTCGTCGGAGTGCCTAAAAAAGAACGAGATTTTGTGGGAGGCTTCGATATATGCCGTTTCCCCCATATTGATGGCCGAAAAAGGCCATATCAGCTGGATTTGGCCGGAAATGCCCAGATCTATTCTGGCCATTTCCACCAGATCGATAGAACTGGCCGTAACAGCCAGATCCCTAGCCATTAACGACCAGATCTGGGTGAGATCTGGCTGTTAACGGTCACAGACTGGCCGTTAACAGCCATCTATTTTGACCGGAATAGATCTGGCCGTTAATGGCCAGATCTCGTCCATATCTGGCCGATAAGGGCTAGGGATGTGGCCATTTCTGGCAGATCCTCGACCTGGCCGAAAATGGCCAACAGATCCATCGATCTGGCCGAAAATGGCCATTTCCGGCCATATTTGGCCTGATATGGCTTTTTCGGCCATCGATATGGCTAGAACGGCCATATCGGAGCCTCTTGGTCACGGTGAGCTACTGACAGGGACTTTCGGAGACTTCCGGCGGTGGTTTGCAGTGGCGACAGACGCGGTGAGAGGTGGGGGTGATTTCATAATAAATTAAAGTTTATATAAGCGGGGTGTTTTAACTAAATCTGAAATATTGGGGGTTAAATAATTATTCAAAATTAATAATAAATAATATTATTATATTTTAAAAGGGGACATTTAGAATATTAAATAATTTACCCACCAATTTATTCCCCTAACCAAACATATTAATATAACATACCCACCAACTAACCGAACACATTTTCGTAAAGATTTCCAGTAATCTTCAGGGGCAGTTTGGTTCGGGTTAAGTAGCATTACTGGGGTATGTCATCCATATTACTTGATTACCACGTTTGGTTTTCAAGTATATAAGATGCCAGTATCTTTAAATACTATAGTGGTTACTATTGGTAATATAAGAGGTAATCTGATTACCTCCATTTTCTATGTTTTCTAGATTACCAGGGTTATCTTTTTTTGTTACATTTTTCCCTTATAATAAAAATTTTGGACAATAATACCCTTACTTTAAAACAAATTTACATTAATATCATATTCAATTTTACCCTTTGTAATTAAATTTTGGACAATATGCCCTTAATTTAAAATAATTTACAACCACCAAGCCACCACCACCACAGCCACCCAGCCACCACCGCCGACAGCGGGTCAACCACCGCGGACCACCGCCGGACCCTAAAAACACTGAAAATTCTGTGGGGGGCTCCGGGAGGCTTCGATATGGCCGTTTTCGGCCATCAATATGGCCAAAACGCCATATCGAAGCCTCCCGGAGCCCTCCACATAATTTCCAGTGTTTTTAGGGGCTCCGCAGTTTCCGGCGGTTGTTCGCGGTGTGGCGGCAGGCGCGCAGGAGGTGGGGTGATTTCGTCATGAATAAAGTTTTTTTATAAGCGGGGTGTTTTAGCAAATCTGAAATATTGGGGGTTAAAAAATTATTCAAAAATTAATAATAAATAATATTATATTAATATTTAAAAGAGGGTCAATTTAGTAATTTAATAACATACCCACCAATTTATTCCCATAACCAAACATATAATATAACATACCACCAAACTAACCAAACTATTTTCTTAAAATTCCCGTAATCTTCCAAGGTAATCTATCTTTCCAGTAATCTAATATTCCCAGTAAGTAAACTTCCTGAACCAAACGCTCCCAAGGTATCTATCTTTCCAGTAATCCAACATTTCCAGTAATCTATATTCCCCGAACACAACGCCCCATACTCTTTTATCTTAGTCTCCCCGACAGTTCAATATTCCTCTGCATGGACCACTTCCGCAACAAGCCGTAGTGACCTCCTTGAAGCTTCACAACATGAAAATTCATTGCAAATTGTGTATTATGAAAATTAAGTGCATAAAATATATGGTTAATTTTGACATGGCATACCATATCTGAACGGGTTTTTATAACTTCAACAGCATTTTTTAATTTGTGCTCTTCTCATTTGTCATCAGTGTGCTTTGATAGACAACAGAATAGAAAAAATCCATATATCAAACTTATTATTCAACAAATATCCCTTATTCATTATAGAAGTTAGTTACATCAATTCAAGCTCAGCTATGTTCAAATAGTTTCTTCATTTGTAGGCCAAGTGACATTGGAGTTCCACTCCACATTAGTTCTGCAAATAGCTTGTATGCCCTTTCGGTGGCATGACCAGAGTCAAAGTAGAAATATTCCGCAGGATGTCACATAATTCATACTCTTCTATCCCTCTCTTCCCCCCACAGCTTGATATTCCTCTGTACGGTCCACTGCCACAGCATGCCGTCATAGCCCTCCTGAAACCTACACAAAACCAATTCAAATTACAAATTGTATCAGTAATCCTGATGCTTATTCTTTCTACATAAAGTGATAAAACACAATAGGAAGATCACATAACATACCATACTTGAAGGATTTTTCCTAATTTCAACCAGATCGTAGATATTGTGAACGATATTTTGAATCCAGTTAGTTGCTTCTCTAACTCCTCCAGGGCTTTATAGATTCTATGTTGTGTAGTTTTGCTAACTCTGAACGAGGAGTCTCCAAGCAGGATCCTGAGCTTCCATTTACAAGTGCCCTCCAGCTGGTGAACAACCCGAAGCTCCAAGCTGAAAGCCCAAATTTCCTTCCTCCTGTCTTATATCTCCTGAAATATTAAGGGAAATACATCATCAGAAGATGTAGAAAAAATTTCAAACGGTCGATAGACAAAGTCAATGTTATTACTTTGATTACAGTTGTTAAGTTGCCGACCACCGTCAATAGATATTGTTTTTAGAGTAATCCGACTGAAGCACACTTGAATTTGATGTCAGAGCCGCATCATAATCATTGCCACCGATGCTAAATAAGTAAACTGCGTTGCCCAACAATGTTTTGGCTTCTGCATCACTAGTTTTTGCTTCACTGCTTCTCCGCAATCTTGAAGTAACTCAGCTGAGTTTTGAAGGTCTATCACCTGGAGTTTAATAAGAGAAAATGGAAGCCAAGTCAAAACCTAAACTTTCAAGGTTCAAATAAGCCAATCAAACCTTATTCATAATAGCTCGAATACGTTTCATAACTAGAGCACCACCTCCTGCGGATGCAAAGTTCACCCCATAAACAAATTTATCGTTGTAGGATGGCAAAAATGTTGGTATAAATGGTAATCCTGCACGCTCAGCTGCAACAGAATTATTTGCGAGAGTAATTAATAGAGTGATAAAAATTCAGAGGCTCATCATACTCCTACATGGAATTAACAACTTAATAATCAGTCTTACCTATGAAATCCGATATCAAACGCCCATCAGAAAATCTCCCAGTTGGGTATTTGAAGAAGGATTCACCGTATGGCCAGAAATTTGCCTGAGAATGGGTAGTGGTGTTGATGTAGTTATTATTGCCAGCATCAAATAGTGAATCACCGAAGATAAATAGTGCAACATGTTTTTTAGGCAACGACCGGTGACAATGGCCTGGGATGAGAAGACTTGAGCACAGGATCAAGAAACAGAGAAGGACCCTTGATCTTGTCATATTGAAATTCATTCACTTAATGTTCTGTTCCCTTCTCCACAATTGAACTGTCATTTGAAGGGTTGTTTACTTGGAGACAAATAAATTGAAGGACCGAAAGGATTGAATTTTCAAACATTTCAGTATACTATTCCATTGATCAAGATATTCACGCAAGTTTAAGTTTCTTTGGATATTGTTGAATTTTCATAAATAATGCCATTTAGTCTTCTTTATTCTATTCATTCTATTATTGGTCATGATCATGACACAAACGAAAGACACCAAGATGTTCACGTCTTTGTGTGGAACAAGTAGCTTAATTCCTTATTACATAGTCAAACATTTTTTTTTTTTTTTTTTTTTTTTTTTATGGTGAAAAAATAGTCAAACATTTTGTTCACGCAAGAATACGTCACATGGCGAAAAAGCAAAACCATGTAAAATTATTGTGTGCTTTTGCTTTGATTGTATTATTATTTTTTCCTGTTTTTCTTCTTGTTAATTATTTTTCGTGGGATTGGGTTTGTCAAAACACTTTGGATATTGTTGAACTTTTATAAATTATGCCATTTTAGTCTTCTTTATTCTTTTTATTCAATTCTTGATCATCAATCAGGACAGAAACAAAAGCCCGAATTTAGTGTAACAGATACCATCTTGACTAGTTATGAGAGCTTGCTAGCTCTGTCTAATGCCAGCAATTAAGCGGTACTTAAAATTCTGTCTTAAGTTGTTAACCCAAATTTATTTTCACTGATCCATGGTCATGGTTTTGAGAGGGGTATTTTAAGTTACTCATACAGACTTAGCTTTGTCTAATTAAATGTGGAGGATTTTATTTATTTATTTATATATTTTTGGGTATACCGGTAATTCTATTTAAAAAAAAGAATAAAAAAATAAAAAGGAAGAGGAGGGGTAATACCCCTGCAAGCTAAAACCTTGGACAGTCCAAGTAAAAGCCGAACAAAAGCAGACCGATGGGCCGAAGGATATACAATCCTCTGCAACAAAGCCCAACCAAAAAACAGGCCTTAACAAAAAAGGAGAAAAACTAACTATACAAGGCCATGAAGCCCAATATAATTCTTCGGACAACCCAAGGGGAACCCAAGAAAAGCAGAGGACCGGCTGGTGCGCTTGGCCCACGCCATATGTCCACTCAAACGGCCCATACGACTGCTGACGCAATCAACCCATAAAATTGGCCCACGTAAACTGACCTCTCACACAACAGCCCATAAAACCTCATCCAAGGAAGCCCTATGACCCAACCACCAAAACAGGCAAGTATCAATTGCTAGGCTGTCATCTTCCCGCCCCAAGAATGGCCCAAACACTTCACTTCCTAATCCCAGCCGAAAAGAGATCCCACCCAAAGAAAGAAACTACCCCTAACAGCCCACAAGCAAAGCAGACCACGGTCACCTCAACCACAAAACTCCCACCACATCTAGCTGGGCCCTTAAAACTCTCCACACTACGAGGCCCACGGAGACAACCACCAGACCAATCCAGCAAATAATGATGGGCCATTTTAATAACACCCCTGCAGCCCCCAAGAAAAATCTCCCCTAATAGCAGCTCCAGGACCAGCACAAAGTCATTCTGCCAACAAAAGTCTGGAAATTTTGACTCAAGAAGATTCCCATAAAAAGGGTACAAGCTCAAAATCTTTTCGATTTTCAATTTCCTCAGCCAATAATGCTATGTCGTTGCACAGCATTCATCACCTGCATAAGCCAAACCCCACAGCCAACTCCACTGCTTGCCTAAACGACGCTTGCCCAACTGCCTCTTCACAAGATGAAAAATTATCATCTGGACAAACTGTTTAGGTGTACTCTGCTGTGATTAACCTTTGTTAGTTTTAAGCTTTGGTTTGAATTCAAATTTGTAAATATACTTGCAAAGTTGGTGGTAAAATGGATATTTGGACTGATAATTATTGTATAAATTTGTAATGAAATGCAGAATTTTGCTCAATACATGTTTCTCTTTCTTTCTCGAATTCTCGGCCAAAACACCTACAAATGGTATCAGAGCCATACTAAAGAACCTAAAACCTCTCCCTCCCATGATCAAATACTCTTCATCTCATTTCCAAGACTCCTCTTATTTTAGACCTGTTACCTAACTTTGCTTTCAACCAACCTTTTTGTCACCTCCATCTTCAATGGTGAACATATCACATGCAGGCTATCAAAATGAAGGCATTCCTTTGAGGCAAGGGTTGTGGCAGTATGTAGAAGAGAATGGGCAATCAACATAGGAGACCAAATCTAACTCTGAATCAGATCAGAATTTATAAGAAGAAGCTGTAAGACTCCGACAGCCTTGTCCCACATCCATGTTGTTGTAACAAACCTTGTATTCCCAAGGTAATGACATGTGAACTGCAAAGAAGTTGAGGAGGAATTCATAGGAAATGATACCACAAGAACATGTAGGTGTTGAACTTAAAAAGGAAATTTGAGATGTTGAAGATGCAAGAATCTTAGAAGACAAAGGAGTATGTTGACAGCTGATGAGTGTATGCAAACAAATCAGGTTGCTTGGAGTGGAAATGACAGATAGAAGAATTGTTGAAAACGTCTTGATAGCTTGCCCGAAAAGTTTGAGTCCAAAATTTCTTCTTTTGAGGACTCAAAGGACATGTCTCAAATTACCTTACTGAGTTAGTCCTTGCATACAAGCACAAGAACTAAAAGACTCTTGAGCAAGAAGATACAAGTGAGGGTGCAATGATGGCAACTCACAAAGGCAAGTCTACATAGGGGAACACTAGAGGTATGACGATGACAAAAAGGGAAAAGAAAGAAGCAATGGTCAATGGGGAAACCATGTGGGATGAAGGAGTATACACCTTGCTCTCACTGCAAAAAAAAAAAAGGTCATTCCAAGAAAAGGTGCTTGTTTAAGCCAAGGATACAATGCAAGCCTACAACAGTTTGACCACATTGATATGGTCGCAAGAACAAATGAGAGAAGTCCCAACAGCAAGCTCAATGATTGATGATCAAAAGGACAAAACAGATATTTGTAGCTTCCTGCATTCAACGCAGACAAGTAATGAAGGTTGGCTTATTGATAGTATGTACAAACCACATGACACCAGACCCGCAGAGCTTTGTCAAATTGATCATGCATATCGGTCGAAATCAAAGTGGGAATGGGTGAGTTTGTGGAAGCAAAAGAAAGGAGATGTTGTTGTCCAGACACCAACAAGTACAAGCTTATTACTAATGTACTGTATACACCCAAAATTAGTCAAGTCTTCTTAGTGTAGGACAAATGTTGGAAAAGAATTATGTCCTGCATTTTCAAACCCAAACCTGCAAAATCTTGGACATGAAGGGTGTGAACTCATGAGGGTAAAAAGGGTGGGAAAGAAGTTCCCCATCAGTGGAAAAACCAGAAGTTGGCCTATAATGCTAGGTTGAGAGTTTGAAAAATGGCATAAGAGATTTGGCCATTTCCATTACCATGATTAAGAATTCAAACAAAAACTTGGTCCAAAATCTACCCAAATTGAAGAAACTAAAGTTGTAACCTGCTTGTCAACTTGGCAAGTTGTAGGCAACCCTTTCCTGTAAATCAGGCTTGGAAGCTATTGAGAAACTCCAACTCATCCACACAGATGCGTGTGAACCTATGCAGACACTTCATTGATGGGAGCATATACTTTGTCTTGTTTATTGGATTGGTCTAGGATGTCTAAGAGTGAAGTTGTTGCTGTGTTTGGGAGATTTAAGCTAAAAGTTGAAAACCAAACTAGTGGAGTACAAGACAGTGAGGAGTGACAAGGGGACCGAGTATACTCAAATGAATTTAATCAATTTGCAAGCAGACTGGAATTAAGCACCACTCGTAGTCCTTATACTCCACGCAATGGAGTTAGTGAGAGGAAGAATAGTTGTTTTGGAGATGACAAGATGTATGGTTGTGAGAAGAAGCTACCGAGAGTTTTTGGGTAGAGGTTGTCAACACCACAGTCTATCTGCTCAATAGCTTCCCACAAAAGCCTTGATCTACCAAACTCCTTATGACTTGTGATAGATTGACCTACTATGGAATACTTAGAATCTTTGGGAGCATATTATGCCTTATTCCAGCAGTTAAGAAAAGTAAGTTGATTACAAAGCCATGATAGGAATTTTCTTTGGCAATAGTAGTCAATCCAAAGCATACAGGTTTATGTTCAAGAGACTAAGAAATTACACTCCAAGGGATGATAAAATTGAAGAGAATGGTGTCTGGAATTAAAGAAAACAAAGTTAATGAAGACTTAAGACCACAACCGATAGAACCAACAGTGAATCAAGATGATGAAGAAGGTGGGACTGAATTAGATAAAGATGTCCAGTTAGAGGTACCAGACCTCTGACAAAAATTTATGAAAGATGTAATGCACCCAATACTTGAACCAACAAACTACTCTAAAACGTAATCAAAGCTTGGAAAGCTTCCATGAAGGAAGAGTTAGCAATGATTGAGAAGAACCAAACTTGGAAACTTTTGGACGCCTGAGAATAGAAAGTAATCCAAGTAAGATGGATTTTCAAGAGGAAACTCAATCCGATGGCTCGATTCTTAAGCACAAAGCTAGGTTGGTTGTCAAGGTTTTGCTCATAATATGGAGTTGATTTCTTGGAACCTTTGCACTGGTAGCTAGGCATGATACAAGCATATATTGCTTACTATGGTAGCTCAATTTGGCTGGAAAATTTTTCAGTTGGATGTTAAATCAACCTTCCTAATGGATGGTTGAATGAGGAAATATATGTTGACAATTGAGCGGGTACCAGATCAAAGGAAGTGAGGATAAAGTTTACCTTTTAAAGAATGCCTTGTTGGCCTAAAATAGGCACCAAGGGCCTGGTAACTAGGATGATGATCACTTAATGAGCTTACATGTTGTGAGGAGTCCAAATGAACATACTTTGTATGTTAGAGAAGTGGATGAAGATGTGATGATTATTCCTTGTATGTTGATGACCTCTAGTGACAGGGTAACCTTGCTCAATTGGAGGAGTTGAAGAGTCCATGCGCAATGAGTTTGAGATGACTGATTTAGGGGAAATGTCTTATTTCCTTAGATGCAGGTCTATCAAAG